AGCCCATGCACACGGCATTAATGCGTTTTAATGCATGCACGTGTAAACATGAGCCTAAATTGCCTTAATGCGTGTTAATTTTAAGTGCACCTAAATGCACGTGTAAACATGCCCTAAATGTAATTTCATTATCAACTATCTGAAATGTTTCCTGTCCGATTTAGTGGATCAGAGAGACGGGTAACTGACAGTTGTTCATTAATGTTTTCATAGCCATCTCTGGAACCAGCTCTTATGTGTAGGTCTTTTTGATCTCCGCAATGTATTCTTTTAAAATATTTAATAAAGTATTTGCACACAAAAAACAAGGACGCATTGTAATGAGATTTGTAATGGTCACTCTTGCTAACATTAAGACTTCTTAAAGAAAATATCTTTTAAAAATAAAAATAATATTTTTGTACAAAAATGAATAGGTTCTGTCTTGTTTGAACTACTTGAGAGCCCTGTTCAGTCATACCTCTGATTAAAAGAGCAGTATTTAAGCTAAAATGCAACAGGGTCAAAATCATTGCTGAGATACGTGTGTGAATCATTCCCTTCAAAGTCAGTAGGATCTACATACACATATCTGGAGTCAGATTTGATCTACGGTGTCTTTGTATTATGAAGCCAGCTGCCCAGCAACCTCAGCATATAGTTTAAATTAAATATTTAATGGATTAAGAAAAAGTATTCAGAAACAGAATTACCAGTACATCAGCCACTCAGAATGCAGGGGTGCTAGGCCATTACAGGGGTACAATGCTACTTGCTTCCCCTGCTTATATAATTTCCCACTCATTGATTCAATCTGGGTATCTCAAACTGAATTGATTTTGTCTTGATTATGTTACCAGCTCTGTGCAGAGAAGAAGTCCTAGCTGATGAATAGCGAATGGAGCATTACACTGCATCTAGTCTTGTATCTGGAGTGCTTATGATTATACATTATGATTACTAGTGACTTTATGAATATTACTTAACTTTATGAATATTAGTTTTATTGTTTGCATACCATCCTGTAACTCTGAGATGTAGGTGTCCAGCTTGAAAAACTCTTAAGTTTCTATAAAAAAAAAAATTGTATTTACACATGCATCTGTATGGGGTAAATATAAATATGCTTGCTGTTGTGGTGCAGTGATTCTGAATAGCAGATATTTTCATACCTAATGTTAAGGAATTATTGGCTGCTGAAGACAGGGTAGCAGAAGACATAAAATCATGATCTGGAAAGAAGAGGTGTGTTTAAATCAAGTGCTTACCAGAAGAAGAACAATATTTGACTCTCTCCAAGTAGTTGCTACAGAGAAAGGAAAGAGTGTGCTTCTAATCTAAGTGCTTATGAAGTCCTGATCAGTGGTGGTAGCTGTATTAGAGGAGTAAAAAAACTGAAAATATGATTAGTAAACCTTTGCAAATCTACTTTGACAGACAAGCCTAAATAATTCTATTCTGTGATTGATATGTTCAGGGAACTATAACAGATAAAGAACCATTAAGTGTTTTGTATTATGAGGGTGACAAATATGATAATTGTTTTAGTTACTGAAACTACTATTATGGTGGAGGACTAAATACTAATCATCATATACCGTGTTCTGTAGGGCTGTTCTTGCAAGGAAGCTTTCATGCAGGGGAAGGGGGAATGCACTTTATTTATAGGAATCATTACAGAAAGAGATGCTGTAACAGGGGTCAAGCCTGGGCCGAGTCTTGAGTCAGCCCGCCCAGTCTCTCCTGCCATGACTTTGCTCTTCCCATAACTGGTGGAAAATGTTGGAGACTACCCGTTACATGCCCCGATGCCAGAGGCACTATCCACTGCTCTGAACCTCCCCGACATGGTGGCCCATTCCTCACAGATGGCATCCAAGATGACGCTATGCTTCCAGCCTAAAGCTGGGCCAACTTAGTCCTTCATCAGGCCTCTTTCACACCTACATTCACACTGCCCTCCTCTCACTAGGGCCTCTTGCACTCCACCCCCTCTCGCAGGGTCTCTTTCTCACATTGACAACTTGTTCCGCCCTGCTCCCTCTTGGAGTGGCTCCCATAGGCCTTGGGGTTTCATCTGTATCAAGCCTCAGGTGGTGACATGCAGTCTGTTGGACCTCTCTCATGACCCCTACCTAGGTAGTGGCCAGCTGATCCACCACACGGAGGGTTAACTCCACCCTAGCTCCTCACTCGGCTTCTCATTTCCAACACTTGTTCATCAGGGGGTTGGCCCATGTGCTACCCTTCAGGCTGTCCCACAGCCTGTACTCAACCTTCATCAGGGCCCTCACTACCACCCTGTCTGGGGCTACACATCTATCCCCTCCCTGGGGCCTCTGGAGTCCCATTCCTCTGTGGGGGCTCAGGTAGCCGCAGTCATGCCTGGCCCCCTTATACCCACAGTATTGTGGGGGGTAGGGGTTATTGAGGCATCCCAACCCACTTTTCACCGGGGTGGTGAGCAGTCCTGGTATTTGAGTGGGGCTGTCATGCCACCAGCAGTCCCACCAGGCTTCCCTATCCTGGCAGGCTGCAGTTTTTGGTCATAACCAGGACCAGGAGCCCCCTGCTCTTACTTGCCAGGTGTTTCATACAGCAGTTCAGCAAAGTGATGTCTCTGTCTGGCTGCCAGCAGCAAACTGCTGTGTTTGTAAAGCTGGCCTGTGTTTTAAAATGGCCACCGCAAACAGGCACCTGCTGGCTGCCTGACTCAGCCCTTAACGTGGCAAGTACCCAAAGGTGCGCTGCACACACCTCCCCCTTAAAACAAATTCCCAAGGGAAGGGGTGGGGGTGGCACTGGAGTGCTTGGCCATCGGGCTGCTGTTTCCCAGCCAGTGCACCACTGTGACAGGGGGCAAGCCCAGGGCTGAGTCTTGAGTCAGCCCGCCCACTTGTTTCTATGAGGCAGTCCGCCCAGTCTCACCTGCCATGACTTTGCTGTTCCCATAACTGGTGGAAAATGCGGGAGACTACCCATTACATGCCCCGATGCCAGGGGCGCTATCTACCACTCCAAACGTCCCCTACATGGTGGCCCATGCCTTGCAGATGGCATCTAGGATGACACTATGCTCCCAGCCTAAAGCCAGGCCAACTTAGCCCTTCGTCATGCCACTTTCACATGCAGATGCCTCTAGAAAGGAGGTACTGTACTACATCTAGAACCAGTTACAAAAGTGTATTAATGCAAATGACATTAATGAAATAGTACAGGCAAAACAACAGAGCGTTGTGAAGGTAAGTATTAAATTCTAAATTGCAACACCTTGATAACAGAATAGTATATAATCTAAAACATCATGCATGCATTTTATTAGCAAGTTATGCTTCCAGTACCAGGAACCTTGTTGCTTGATCAAAAGGAAAGAATTGCTAGGAACTGACAGTATCAGAAAATTAATTTGCTATCTTTTGATTTTACTGTGACAGTACATGGATTTTAGTGTGTGCTGTACAATTAATGAACTGTTCCAAATGACTGGATATAGTTTCACCACAGCAAATAGCATTGAAAAAAATATTAATAACAATTATAATAATTGCAATAATTATAATAATTCATTATGGAGAAAAAGGGGAGCAGTTTTCTTCTAACTTCATCTGTGGAAACAAAGAATTCTATTTGTAACATCAGAAGGAAGGCTTTTAAGAAGCCGTTATGATCAGGATTTGCAATGCCATCAAAACAATGTCTCTGATCATGTTTCAGCCCAAAAAGTGATGTGGATTGTTTCAGTTACTGTTTCTTACCTAGCTTTCCTTCTCCTTTTTTGATGATGAGAGATGCTGTCATTGGTAATCATTATGCCCAAGGTCCTGATGCAGCCCCACTGACGTCATTGAGAGTCTTTCCACTAACTTCAGGGAGAACTGGATCCAATCTTCTTATTGTTCAGCTTGTGTCTTCCTTGGATGAGAGACTAAACTACCCATTTACCCTTACTGGTGATCCCTGCAAAATGGGGTTGAGACACATTAGAGAGGCAGTGGGGAGAACTTTGCCTGTTCTATACTTGCTCTATAGCAACAAGGAGAATTAATTCTCTGGGACTTCTAGATAG